AAGTCCAAGAAAAATAGATTGTGTCGACTTGTATCGCTAAATAGAAAGCGTCCATGGTCGTATTTCGAACTTTGTTCGTGTGAGATCCGCGTCCAATTGAAGTGAAAATCTGTTAGACACATTTATCGCAAATGTGTGATGGAAAATACTGACCAGGTTCGATTTAGCATCCTTCTGCGAATATCTTGCTACGACTCGTCGCTGCGATTCAGCTCTTCACCAATTCACGGCTCCTCTTGAGAACGTTGTAGAAACGAAGGCGACGAGGAGTTGTAGAAGGAGAAAAGGGGAAAGACGGAAGTTAGATAAGAAGAGAGAAAGAAAGACAGGGAAAGAAAGCGAGTTGAGACAGAACAGCGCGGAGCCGCGGCGGCGGCTGGACGTTTTATGCGCGCCGCGCAAAAGATGCCTTTGAATCCTTAATTCCCTTTGAAACTCTCATTCTGGGAGCAAAATGGCGAGAACGAGGCGTATTCTTCGGTTGAATGACGTATTGAGCGAGTTTTGTATGCCGTTGCGTCCGCGGGCGGCTCATCCAGAACCCTATGGCCGCTTATGCGCGTTATATACGTATTACGTTCTCTCTTTTTTTTTTTTCTTTCCATCGCGCATCGAGTGACAAGAAATGTACGAGTCTGCACGTTCCTTTCTCTTTCTCAAGATTCATCTCCCATTCGTCGTTTTTTTTCGGCAATGTACTCTCGCGACAGAGAATATTATTCGTTCTGTAATTCAGATTATTTCTCTTTTCCTTTCATAGATTGATTGCCACGTTATACGAGCTATTTCTCACAAGCTTCCTTTAAAAATGAAATTAGCTATTTTTGCTCCTTCAAGCGTTCCATTATCAGGGCAATAAAATTAGTTTGAAGATGTTTCTTTGCTAAACTTTTTACTTTTATAAGCAGGTTATCTCATACTTTATTAAAAGAAAAGTATGAAGCAACAATAGCAACTATTTTTTTCTTAAATTGGAACTTACTTCGGGCGATAAACTGCATCGCAGGAAGTGAGATTATTTTTGTGAACAGTGGAAAGAACAGTGGAAATTATGTTGATCCTTCTCCAAGGTTTCGTACAATCTTAGCTTTGCTTTATCGCTTCTAACAATTATCACGTTACGATAATTTCCCGTTGAAATTGCCGGCAAATATCATGTGCATCCCGGAATTCCGGACGGGATTCACGTTGGGCCATCGATCGTCTCCCACGGAAACTCGCACGCTCGTCTAACGAGACATTCGGCAGCAGGATTCGACGACCATCGTCGCCGTCGTTGTCGATGCCACCGGGGCTGGGGTGGAGAAATCTCGCGACGTGTACGCTTCAAGAACTCAGCATTATCGGTCGGGTTTTCTCACGGATACAATTTCTCGACGCAATTTTCTTTTCAGTCGGTCCCGGCGAATCCAACGCGCGCGCGGGTTGGACCGTGGGTGGCAAATGGCAAAGAGAGAGAAAGAGATACGGTGACAAGGGGGTGCGCGGAAGGGTGTAGAAAGAGGGGGGGGGAGGTGCGGCGCAGCCCATATTCGTGCATTGTGGCACGTTCCATCGCGTTCTCAACTGAACTGAACTCGACTCAACAGTGGAGGACACAATGGGCGGTATGAATAAGTATAACAGACAGACACCGGTACAGACAGACACAGGTAGCTCAGGCCGCAGTATGTGAATGAGGAACCCATTTGATAACACGCCTCCACAGCCACCCAGGTCCATTGTGTCGCTTCCTATTCAGCTGCTCTATGCCCTCTTCTCCTCCTATCCCCTCTTTACCGTCCCTCCTCTCTCTTTCTCTCTCTCTCTCTCTTGTTCCCTCTGCTCTGAACTCCTCCTCCCCTTCTCTGCTGGATTCGCCTTGCTCTGCTGGTGGTGTTACCCCTCTCGCTCACTCGTTCTCGTTCCAATATCATCACGGAGATCTTGTCCTATCTGTCCTGCACCTGTATTATGCACAGAGGAAAAAGGCAGACACGGATCCCTTCTTCTTTATTTTGATCATACGTTGGCTGCGTAGGATCGAATCGCGGAGAGTGAATTAGAAACGCGAGACACCGTGCGAAAACCGCTCAGGACTGATGAATAATTTATATAACTTAATCTTCTTTATTTGATATTGTGTTGCAAAGGAGATATATATTCTCATCATAGAATTATAATATTTAGCGTTTGGTAAAACAGAAGCTATAAACCATTTTCTACATTTTAAGAAACTTTATAAAAGATAATTATTTTAACATTTAAATCTTATTTTATTTTGCTATTTTAATATTATTTTTTAAATTCGAAATATTGATTCAGAGTGTGTCAAGAATATCAAGTTTCACCCTTACTTTATTATTGTTTACAATGGTATGTGTATGCGTCTTTAGAAGCGAAAGGGTTAAACCGACCCTGTCCGTCGAATAGATAGGTATTACTAGCGAATGATCCTAGTCGCGTGGATACTATGGAAGCCTGCTATCCTGGGATAGCAGTCGTAGATTGTACATCGACAGAGAGGAGAGTGTATGTGTGTGTGTGTGAGAGAGAGAGAGAGAGAGAGAAGGGGAAGAGAGTACCGACCAACAACAATGAGGCAGAGACAAAGCCCAGGTACAATGCTGATGTTGAACTCGACTGATTTCGACGATTTTTGGCCTTTGCATGTGCATCGCGCGTTACTCGACAATGATTCCCGCATACGTAATCATCGCTATAGCCGCGGAACTCTGGTACCCTCGCTCGCGGCAGTGGCTCTCACCCGCGGTCTCTTTTTCTCCAATTGAATCTCTTTTGAGGGCTTCGATGCTCGAGCCAATAGAACATTACCATGACAAGGCGGTCTGTTTGTCGGCTTAAACTGTGGCTTATTGAATAGTAGTTGAGAGTCATAGGTGATTCACACCTTCGTCCGTGCAATTCGCTTTTCAATCGTATGATGTGTTTAATCAGCGGTCATCGCATCGGAGCAAGAGGTACAATCGGCAATCATGTACAGCTTAAGATCTATTTTTAGAGTACTTGGATCTTAGGGAATATATACATTGGAATGTGGGATATATACAAATTAAAATTATCCAAGTTACGATGAAAAATGTCTTTTTATGAAAGGAAATGCAATTTGCGTAAGAAATTCAGTCAAACAGGATTAATGTTATTGGAATAATATTTAGACGTTGATGTTATGAGATCTCAAATGCTGACATGATTCATCATAGGTTGGGATTCATTTCACGGTTCGATACCAATTCATCGTGATTAAGAGTATTCTGATTGTGAGTCTTTTAATAGTCTCGCACCGGGTCAGTCGCATGTTATATATACACATTCTCAACAACTATTCAGCTAACCTAGCCTCTAATGCAGTTATTATTAAATTATTCAAAGTAAAATATTGATTTTCGATAAAAATGTGATTTTCGATAAAAATATGATTTATACACTTTACACCCAAGATATGTTTCGATTTATACAACTTTGTTCAGTCAATGAAATTAATCATCTGTAAATATAAAATTTAAATGAAGTTGACAATTTTATTTTTTTGCTTTTTATAAATATGTCAAGATATTAAACATATTTTTGTATCACAAAACATATTTTTTGTAAACGCAAATCTCTTAAGTATCTCGCTCTCGTTTGCTGAAGCATGAAAAAAATAAGCGCATCTACTTTCTTCATGCATAGGTAAACTTACGTTAAAAATGTGAATACTTCGTATGAAGAATTCCGTGATGCGCATCGCGAAACTAACAACGATCTTTTGCCGGTCTCAGCAGTGCGTTTTTGACACTCGCAAAGGGTGGATCCTGATCGATTGAGCACCGCTGACCGCACCTGAATAGATACATTGTGCCGAGGCGGCCTATTGACGGGCGATTGTTCCCTCAACAATAACAACAATATCTGAATAGTCGTCCTGCGCATCTCTCGCGCGTTGCACGCACCCACGCATCCGCGCGTGCACGCACGGATGGGGCGCTTTCACGCGCGCACGTACGTCGATGTACACGCACGCGTGCAGCCTGAAAGGTTCCCGCACACCCCGTGGAATACATGCAAGCGATATAAACGCACATACCAGTGGTGGATTTAGCAAATATCGAGGCCCAAAGGCGAAAAATCGGCCAACAGTATATATACATTATTCTTAATTTTGATCATTGAAAGAGAAATAATACATGTTAGCATCTAATTATTATTATAAATAATAGATACATTACGCTCGTGTTTAAAATAATCCCATGCATCGCAGAGAAATTGGAAAAAATGCTGTTTTATTTGAGAGATTGCTATTTTTATACGAGTTTCTTTTTTTTCTTTTTTTTTCTTTTTTTTTTTTTATAAAGTATTCCTCTTTCTTTTTAGCAATTTGTCCATTTTTCCTGAATGCGTGCACATGCATGCGTGCACATGTGTGCGTCGGTGAGGATCAGAGAAATGCGCGCGTGTTGCGGCGAGTGTGGTCTGTCTCGTTAGGGGTATGGGAGTGTTTCAGGCGGGATTGTGGATCGAACTGGCCACACAGCGCCACGCTGGGTGTTACGCTTGAGCTGAAACAATGCAGAAGCACGAGGGTCCGAGCGATCAACCCCCTTGTGTAGCTCATGAAACGGCACTAATGCCTTTCGCGCGAATTTACGCGCTAATTCGCCGAGCGTTCATCTTCGGCCTTGCTCAAGGATCATCGTTTCTAAGTCCGCTGACGTTGCATCGCGGCGATATTATCGTGAAGAATTTTTAACTTTGAGATAGAGCTGTTCCCTCTCTTTTTGATAAATAAGAGCTACAGAATATATAAGGATGCGACCCGCTTATAACTGCAAATATTTTGTTGATCAATCGGAAGAAAGAATTTTACCAAGAATTGAAAAATACAAAGAATGCTTCAAAACATTTGCAGCGTAAAGTGGATCGCATCTTAAAACGTAACAGAGAAAGAAGATTTACATACCTAAGTTATTTCTGTATTCCTCGCGAATGTTTTATATGATTTATTGAATATAAAAGTATAATTAATAATGCAACATTGAGGTATATAAAATATTGTTTATCATGTATTTATAAACAATGGTCAAGATATATATATATATATGCAATGCCGTCGTAGAAATACGTATTTATATCCTACGAGCAGGTACTACATTTACCGCGAAAATGTAAGAACTGATTTTCGGCTGTTTTAAGAAATTGCCGATCGTTCATGAATACTGAAATGAATACATGAAACGCGATACATCTATCGGTACGTCATTCGCTAACGATGCTCTACGAAGCGCAACGGCATTTGTTTACGGTTGTTACAAAAATGAAATAATGATCGTCGGTGATAATGACGATCTTTACAATAGGATAATGAGATATATCTTGAAATTAATAAATTTGTGTAAAGAATACATAAAGAAAAGTTTTTAAGCGACATGCAACTTTCCGTACACATGACTGCGAGTTATAAACTTGCGGTCTTTTTTGTTCAATCTGTAATTAAATGTTCAATCTGTTACAGATCTTGTGTCATATCGTGTATAAAAAATTAATATTATTCGATGAAGTCACACGATACTTTATGCTCGGACAGTTTTGTAAGACGCCGATATTCTTATATGCGAGATCGTCATTCGTCCGAATTAAATACGTATACACTATATAATTGAAAAAAAAGTGACGTCGTAAAATGAAGTATATTAACTTTAGCAGAGAGAGAGAGAGTTAATTTCGCACCGTATCATAAAAATTATAAAATCATATATATATATATATAGAGTGTCTAAAATTTAGACAACAGAGACATTAGATGACTCCCGATTATTTCTATTCTGATACAAAACTCATTAATTTATGTAATAATACCTCATGTTACGATGTCACAAGTAGGAGAACTAATAACTACTGCAGCCCGTATCCGGCAAGGGAACGTATACCTTTTACATAATTTAGATTTTAAATATCCCTTTCTAGTTTAATTCATCAATAATAAATTAAACCAATTAATAATTTACGCGAATATTTCAATTATTTCAATATTCATGGTTTATGTTGCGTTTCGGGTAACTTAAATATTAGATTCATACGTTTCTCCATACGTTCCTCGATTTACGGTACGTCTCCATCCGGCTGCCGCTTATCCGGTCTATCACAGTTCAGTTATCCATAACGTTGTACGCAGGACTTGTTGTCGTTAATCGTTTCGTTACGGTTAAGTCGATATCAGAAGATAGATGACGGTTCGCAAAATTCACATTCATTGCAACGTTTCTGTAAGATGAAATTTTAATCATCGGAGTTCTATATGACTGAAAATTTTAATTAAAAATTTATTAATTTATATATGAATTATAGATTATATTTCATGTTATGCATATTTAAAAATTAATTATATTAAATATTTTTATTTCAGCATAGGTTACATTGTCGTGATTTTTTATTATAAAATGTCGTTATATACATACAGTTAGATAATCTTTGGTAAGCGGCTGCTCACGCAATCGATGATACACCAGACGATTAGTTATAAAATCTTGAATGTTATGTCGGGACAATGTTCGATCTCTCATTTGCCAGTCGAATGACGGTCTGATATTCGCTCCCAAATTCAATATATCGCGACCTCCGTATACTACGCGAACAGTCTGAAAGAAAATATTTATTTTACCTAGATGCATATTTATGTTTAATTGTTAAGATTATATGAGCACAATGCTGTATTCATAAAATTATAATTATTTTTTTATTAAAATTAAACAACTTTAAAGATTCAGCAAACTAATAAATTCAATAAAATAAGTAATCGTATAAAGGCTAAATGAGCCAAGTGCAAGCTGATCGCAAGTTTGTTGCGACAGCCAATCTGAAGCTTGCATTTTGAAATCAACGCTTCAAATTGGCTATCGCAACAAACTTGCGATCGGTTTGCAACTAATATAGAACCGACTTTACGCATTATTAACATAAAAACTTGTCGCAAATACTTCATGATTTGGTAAGAATCACCACATCGAATGAGTTCTGGCATGAAGTCTTTGCGACAAGTTTTTATGTTAATCTAACAGCGCGTAACGTACTTTAAAGAAAAGTAACGTACTTACAGAAAAGCAGCAAGAGACAAGAATTGTTTATTTTGTTCTCATAAAGTTCTGAGAATTTTTTCAGCATTTTTTAGTGCCGTATTTTTTTCTCATGTTGGTAAAAATAGTTGCCAATATATAAGAAAATACAGTTTCTAAAAAATTAATAAAAAATTCTGAAAAAATTTTTAGAGTTCTATGAGAAGAAAAAAGCACTGAAAAAAATGGATTGCTGCAACAATTTATATAGTAAAGTATGGCATAGCATTTTTATATGGCTGCAGCAACCAGTTTTTGGTTGTAGCAGCAAATTTTTAATTGCGTTAGTCTATCGAAATACATATACTGAGATTGCGGCTAGGCTAACACAACTAAAAATTTGCTGCTACAATCAAAAACTGCAGTCATATAAAAATGCTATGCCATATTTTATTATCTAAATTGTTGCAGCGATCCATCTTTTTTTTAAATGCATGAAACATTTTTTTCCGTGTAGTTTTTAAGAAAATAATTTCTTTGAGATCTTTCTCTTCTTCTCTCTTGTTTTCTCTCGTATTTTTCCTTTATACTTTTTCTTTTTCTCTCGATGTTCTTAGAATTCATTTTTACGTTGAATTCCGAATTGTTTGCATCCACGTGCTCGTAACGTTTACCTTCTCCTGGCTTTTGGACGGAGCTCTAGTGGGTGTCTCTGGTCTTGATGAAATCGGCGTTAATTCAACTGATGCCGATTCGGCAGATGTTGCAAGACTGCTGATGCCACTAGATTCACTTCCGGTACTTGGAGAAGTTCGTCCAGAATCGGACAAATTTCTCATATTTTGTTCACGTTCAATATTAAGAAGCTTCATGCTGAGGGCAGAAAAATGCTCTGGGTCTAGTCCGAATAAGGGTAGTGCTAACGTCAGTGCCATTCTTGCTTGGCGTTGTCCTCAGTGTATCTCTTTGTAATGAAGAGATGATCGACTGCTGATAGATATCAATAATTAGAATAGGCATGTAATATTTACAAGAATGAGATTAATCGTCACATTAAAACGACCTCTACATATTTTTTGTTCATGTCAGCACTTTGCATGTATCCCGTTTAAATTGTTTGAAATAGAAAAAACGGACGTTCGTAGTTATATTGAAATCGAGGAATTCTCAATCAATCTCATGCACTTTGTAGATTTACAAGACTTTTCTCTAAATCGCGTGATGTAACACTTGCGCGGTATTTTTTGATCAGAAGTAACGTTATTGACAAAAGAATGTAATCTTAGAATACGTGCTGTATATCTACTTGTAAATTATTCGAAAGAAAATTGTTCTGTTCGGAAAAAATTATTACGTTTTTTAAATTTTCTTGAGAATACGCGTACTCCATTAAATCGAATGTGTATTTACTATTTTGTGCAATAAGATTTTACTTTCGTGTTAATGTATTACCTGAATAAAAGTAATAGAACCACTTTAATCTTGCGAACCGTTACGATGTCAACCGACAACTGAAAGCGTCCTGCTTGTATATCCTGCTACACTATAATGTGATGATAAACACGACCTTCTAATGTTTCGAATAGCAAGTGACTAATCCAGTTATATCATATTTTATTAGTATTTAATGTTAAATATTAAAAAGACGAAAAATCAATAGCAGATAATTTTTTTAAATAAAAGATTTTAAATGAATCAATGAAATACATAAATAAATTTTGCGATTTCTGTTTTATAATTAATTTTATTATTTACATATTTAAGATTTGCTTGAAAAATTAAAAATTTTAATTAAAAATAAATTTGAAAAAAAGTATTAATAGAGACCGTATTCAAGGCTTTTTTTTTTATACAAAATTGCGAAATATATAAAAGGATCAACAAAGGCTCAGATGGTTAAAATTTTCTTTTGCCTTTCTCTTGAAATTGTAGGTTTCCTATCGTTTCTTGCTTGTTTGATATTGTTTCGTCATAAGTTAGGAAATCTCTTTTACCGACGAGGATGGTAAAGTCATTTTCTATTGGTATCAAGTTTGCTGTATGGGTTTATGGTACATGCAATTCCTTTCCTCTCTGTAGCAAGGCTTGATCAACCGAAGTCTGCTTTACCGACTGCAATCATTTTTTCATATAACTTTTCCTACATATAATAATTATTACTAAAAAAATTGTTTCTAAGTAATATTTACAAAATGATTTTATATACTTACAATTATAACAACTTGTAATAATAATTGTTTCGGTATCAAATACTATAATAACTGAGATTCTTACCATGCGACGGGACGCTGATAAATAATACATAGGGTAACTGTTAGTCCTTGTTAATTTCTTGTTTCGTGAATTTATTTACTCGAAATTCCGCTAGGATATTATTATATTGAACGTCTATTACTAAAATTTATTAATTTTTATTATAATTTTATGATCCTGATGCATAATTTTCATATAAACTTTTTTTTTTGACAGTATTTTTTATTTTATTTTTTGACACCAGACAGACTATAAAGATACGTTTAATTTAATATGTTTCGTATATTGGACTGATTATGAGCTTTCTCGCAAGTATACGTTTGAACATTACATTCTTTATAAGACATATAAGAATACAGTTAAATCAGGTGGTCCGATGCTACTCAGGGATCGTCGAGGAAGGACGGAGACGTCTATGTGTATGGACGGGAGGTATCTGTACGGATGTACTGTTGTCTGAAATTGACGGCGAGATTGTCGTTCTTAGTCTTTCAGCTATTATCTTGTACGCACAGACTCCAGTGGATGCTCGCTAGAAGTTGTGAAGGTGGACGCTAGGATATCGTCGGGAAAGTTTAGTCAACACTGTTATAAATATTGTGGATATTTGCCTGCTCCTTTCTCTTTCGTCGAACTTCTATGCAATGGTCTAGTTGATGACAGAGGAGAAGAAAGTGTCCCTACTGCGCAAAGGGAGATTTGATTTGTGCGGTGAGATTTCGAAAAAAATCTGTACACCACACAAATTTATCATGAACAAAAAAAGGGGAGAATATATATGAAGGTGAGCCTTTAATCTCCAATACAGGGCTTTCCTTCTTCGTGATATTGCTGACATGGCTACAATTATGCACTACGGGCGTGTGTATTGTATATATATATATATATGTATATGGAGTCAAGAAAGAAACGCTTTCAAGAAGAAGAAGAACCACGATGATTGAGAGAAAAAAATCATGCGTTGTGTTTATCTATATATTTATCAATTGGGATTGTCCTTTCTAAAAGAAGAGGGAACAAGAGTCAACTAATGATAATCCTCCAGTGGCGTTGCATAGAAGAATTCTATAAAACGGGAAGGAAGTATACTCACGATAATGGATTAATAAGATGTAGATACTCTCTCTCTCAAGACTTCTCTCGAACCTTCCCGGATGGAGTTATCTTCGAACAGAGCGGAGTCAAAGCCGAGGAACGTTTTCCCGTAGTATGCTACGATGAGGCCGGTGGATTGAGTTTCATATGAAAAGAAGTTAGTAAATAGCGGCTGAGGATGTTTACGGAAATATAATGGGCCCAATCCGAACATACTTCGTGCCGACTAGATGACAGATACGTGCACATCGAATCATAATATGTAAGACATTGGCTGTTTAGCGAAGAAACGGGATATCTAAATCTTTCCTACGATTCTTGCACGGATCTGAATGACTGAGTGTTCATGGGATTCTTTGCGAACCTGACTTGGCTGCGAGAATATTAAGAATGAACTGCTTGAAATCAGTTGGGATTTCTTGCGAACTGTAGTAGCACCGTCGACCATCATTTTGCACCGAAATATAAAAGTCTTTTTTGCTCCATATCTTAATTAGTTTTTGCATAAAAATGACTTAAAGCGAAATAAACTGATAATGATGAATTTTATTAAATATTATAGTGATAATATTAATGAATGTATATCTACGTCTGTGCACGGCGTATCTAATAAAGATGCTAAATATTACTTTTCTCGCGATGCGAACGTTTACTAAAATTTCTCTGAATCAGTAAAATGAAAAATCAATTTTACTCAGAACAATCTTTTTATTAAAAACTTTATTAGCAATTTCCTTGCAATTATTTGAATATATAAATATAAAGCATAAGATTCAGTTATTATAATAACAAATTAATTTAAAGGCCGAGCACGACAAATACAAAGAATATCATAAATAGAAATAAGAATATTATAAATAGGAAAGTATCTTAATAAAAATTATAAAATATTATATTGAAAGCGGGATAAGTTTCGACTTAACTACAGTCTTTATTAGCCGCAAGTGTTTAATAACAAATTACATGATTTAATAAAATGCGAACAGTTTGAGATACAATTTAAAGTGAATGAACAGAAATACGAACAGGATATTACATTCGTTAAATTTAATAACATAAATATATTATGTATATATTAAACAATTAAATATAATAATTTTATATTATTAATTTTTGCACTATTTGATTTTTTTGTATTTTTTTTCTTATTTATTTGATTTTAAATTAATGTATTCTGAACCACGTTTAATCGATTGTGTGTAACTTTATTCAATATTTACTGCTGATGAAGATTGCAGTTATGTCGAAATTTATTTCCGTTTTTAGTTATATATATTGGTATATAATTTTTATTATAATACTTATAATTTTTATATAATACTTATATTTTTATATTTATAATATATATTTTGTATGTGTTTGTTTTCGGTTTTTAAATTAAATTTATTTGAATTTATGATAATCATTAAATACTTTATATAATTTTTATAATATTTTATCAGCAATATTATTAAATATTTTACAGACATATATAGCACACATATATACGCAATAGCAAAGATAAAATTGTACATATAGAAACAAAATATATATTATTTTCTATATACATTATTAACTCTTGTTGTATATATTTATGTATATTGCTTAGAAAATATTTTATAATAAAAATTAAATACAACTGTAGAATGTTATAATGGAGTGTGTTTGTAAAATTAAACACAATAGTGTTCAGTTCTATAATTCCTTGTAAATATAAAAAAGCCACATTCGTTATATTAAAAACTAATAAACAATCAACAGTCAGAACTCTTTAAAAATAATTGTAGAATGTTGTGGAATTCACACTAGAATTAATGAAAAATGATGACATGAGAATTGCGATAAATTATCAGTAAGACTTTTTTTTCTAAATGTCAAGATGTCTTCTACATTTAAAGTCTATTAAAATTAATAATTGTTGGAATTTTGTTTTTAAATTGCGTACATTGATGCAACTCGAGCAGGGAACTAACGGGAACTGTAGAACTATGAAAAGTGCTATTGGAATTGTCATTATTTTTTTGTATATTAATAGAATGAAATGTTAACTTGACTTATCCGTTTTTGATATCCTTGTGACTCTGGTATCTTCTGATGTATGTACCTACACTAGAATTCTATGTTACCGACATACAAGTTCTGATTTCGAATATCGTCATATGCCGCCAGAGAGCCCTCCTTGATACATTGAACCCTTTCGAAAGAGTTCAAGGACTTTTCACAAAAAAGATTAAAGATAGGATTTTACGTTGAAACTTCATATCGGTAAATGCAAATATTTAAATTATATGTATATATATATGTATGTAATTACATCCTTTTTATTTGTCTTACATTATGCACATATCATATTATTTATATAAAAAGCTTTAAGCTAATAATCTTTTAATAATAATGTGATATAATTTACGTAATATTTTATCAGCCATATTTTTATATATTTTATTTTTTAGAAAAAATATAATATAATTTTTCAAGGTAATGATTACTTAATTACAATAATTACTTAATAATTTAACTATCAAATTATATAAAAAAAGATTAAAAAAATATTTATGACTTTATTCATGAGATTATTATTATAGCAACATTAAAGCATAAACAGAATAATATACAAGTCATTTATTCAATTATTTTTTCATCGAAGAAGATATATATTCGTATTTCGAAGATTTGGATATCTAGAGAAAAATTATATGTATATGCAGCTATAGGGTGCAAATTATATGCCGTACTTGTTTCTTGGGTACATTGTCAGGATATTTCTACATTGTCAAGTATCTGATATATATACCAGGCGGACGTTACGCGCGGCATCACATCACATCGCATCGCATTGCATCGCGTCGCATCGCATCGCATCGCATCGCATCGCATCGCAACGCAACGCATCGCATCGCATCGCATCGCAACGCATCGCATCGCATCGCATCGTACGACCCATCCGGTGGCCCTAGCAACGCACATGCGCCCTTCTTGGACTCTCGCCTCTCTGGTTTCTCTCTCCGGATGGTTGGGGATTGGCCCGGAGTAACACCCCCTTATAATGGGTTCACCCGTCCGCGTCGAGTACTAGAGAGAAAGAGAGAAAGCTAGAGGGCAAGAGAGAAAGAGAAAGAAATAGAGAGAAAGAGAAGGATAAACAGAGATAGGTGAAGTGAGGGAGACCAAGGGAGAGATGTAATTCCATGGTAGCGAGAGAGGAGCGAGAGAATCGGACGAGAGCGAGAGACA